GTTGTGGTCGTCGTCGTCGTCATCGTCGTCGTCGATGTGTTTGTGGTTGTTGCTGTTCCTGTTGCCGCTGCCGCCGTAGTCGTCGTTGCGGTTTTATTTGTGGTTGTGGTCATTGTTGTTGTTGTTGTTGTTGTTGTTGTTGTTGTTGTGGTTGTGGTTGTGGTTGTGGTTGTGGTTGTGGTTGTGGTTGTGGTTGGTGGTTGGTGGTTGGTGGTTGGTGGTTGGTGGTTGGTGGTTGGTGGTTGGTGGTTGGTGGTTGGTGGTTGTTGGTTGTTGGTTGTTGGTTGTTGGTTGTTGGTTGTGGTTGTGGTTGTGGTTGTTGTTGTTGTTGTTGTTGTCGTTGTCGTCGTCGTCGTAGTCGCAGTCGCAGTCGTACTAGTAAATTGTGCCGTGGATGGACTGAAGCCTCGCCTGCTTTGTCGAGTGTGAGTGCTTAAAAAATTGTGCCGTGTATCTGGCACTGCTAATGTGTACGGTCATCTTGTTATCTTGAGCTCCATTGGTCATGTTGCTCGTTGCCCTGGTCATCTTGGTCACCTGGGCGCGGGGGAAAGATGACCACGTCATCTTGCAATCTTGGTCATCACTCGTCCCACTTGCCCGAGTTTACCATTTAGACCAAGATGACTGGTCAGGTTGCACCCGTTAGTGCTTCCAGATTCCCTGCACACTGTACTAGACTCGTACTAGTGGTAAGTGGTAGTTGCAGCAGCAGGAGGAGGAGTAGTAGCAGTTGCAGCAGCAGCAGCAGTACAAGTAGAAGCAGGAGGCGGAGCAGGAGGAGGTGCGGCAGCAGCAGTCGTAGTAGTAGCCGGAGGAGGAGGAGGAGGACAGGTTGCAGTTGCAGAAGTAGTATCGTTGTCTTATGTTGTCTTGATAGGTAGTAGTGACTAGTATGCCTCGTCGTAATTAGTACTAGAACCAGCACTTCGAAACTGGTAGATAAGGCGATCGCCACGTGACAACGTCAATCTCCTATCGCATGTCTCTCTATACGTCGGTGTCGCGAAATGGGCCCATCTGTTGTTGCATTCGCGTTCGTGGCTTCTATCGATTCTATCAGGTTGTTTGGTCCAGCCATGGCGCCTCGCATGCAAGCCCGGAAGCGCCCCAGCACGGCTGCCCTGCCAGCAGCGAAGGTGGCCAAAACCAGACAGGATACAACTGCGCTGGTGGCCGAGCTCGTGACGGCTCTGAAGCGCTCCTTTGATCAGAACAGAAACAGAAAAGATGCCACCGCCATGACCGGGTATGTGAGCCTCGGGCTGGTCAGAAGCTTGAATTTCGATCACGTTGCGTCGGAAGGGCTGTCTTTCCTTCGAACCTACGTAACAAATCAGAAGCTCCTTTCCGAGAAGCTACTCCACATTGGCAAGCAGCAGTGACGCAGGAAAGGCAAGTTCCCTTACTATGGCCTCAAAGCCCCCTTGCGCCGGCAGCTGGCTGGCGAAGTGCTCGCATCATGGAGCCTTGGAAGCATTTTATGGGAGGCTGATCGTGCTCCATCCTATGCACATCGCCTGGCACGTTTCTCAAGACGACCGTCGTTTGCAATCGAGGCTGTAGGGCTAAGTAGGAGGCAAAAAGCGAGGCTGTAGGGGCCTCCCTGAGAAGTTACGTGTTCCGAGCGAAAACACACGAAACATCCAAGGCAGGCTCGTCACCAACACGACATCGACCAGGCAGGTCTTTTACTGCTTGTGCGGCGGGGTGTGGAGTTGGTCATTCTCGATACCCCTTCTGTCATGGACTAGCCTGCCCTGTCAACCTGCCGTGGCAAGGACGTGGCGCGGCAACTGCTCGAGGCACTCTACTGCTGCGGCTTGATCTTATGAAGATTTTCAACACATTCCAGAGCGTGGTAGTTGTCGCAGTGAAGAGAGCAGTGGAGTGTTGAAGCCCACGCAATCCCGCACCCAAATGCTCCGAGGCAAAGAACGCGAGCTGCACTACGTGGGTGCCGAGGTTTGCTCTGGACTCCTGCGGAAAGGCCGTGTCGGTTGCGATTTCCTACCCGCATCTACGACGCAGTTGGCATCAACAGAGTAAGCACTCGCCTGCAGACTATCCAACCGTCATTCTGCACTAATTAGCTATATACTGGCTGTGCCAGCCTGAACCGAGCCGGGCTGAGGTTGTAAAGCATGGCGTTACAAAGAACAGCTGGTGGGATACGGTGGACATTTTTGCCGCGTCATCAATGTCGCCCTACCTGCTGGCTTGCGGAGGTGGAAGCGCTCCAAGTTCAGATTTGCTTCTAGAAATGGACCAGTGGGCCGTTTCGTCAAATGTCTGGCTTCGCAGAACTGCCATCCTTTGCCAACTGAAGCTGAAAGGGCTCACAGATGTCAGAAGGCTTCAGCGTTACATCCTCCTGAATGCTTCTGACAAGGATTTCTTCGTGCGGAAGGCTATTGGCTGGGCTCTCCGTGAGTATGCAAAGCATGACGCAAAGTGGGTGAAGCAGTTTCTCAAGCAGCACAAGGATCGGCTATCAGGTCTGTCCGTGCGCGAGGCGAGCCTGCATTTGAGCATCTGAGATCATCTGAGCCGTGTACAGCCACTCTCATGGTGCCACCCTGTGCCACCCGTTACAGCCAAAAGCTTCGTGTGAAAGACACGGAGCGAGCAGAAATCTTGTTTAGCGGACCTGGCTCTTTTGGCTTGTGCAGATCTAGCTCTTCGGTGCTTGAGCGGTTGAAAGGGCACTGGGCGGCGCGTGGTTTTGCTTGCAGTAAGGATTGCAGAGGGGAGACTGCTCGTGACCGTTACACCCTTGCTTGTTAATGGGAGTCCTACTTACTCTCAAAATAGTTACCCGTGTTGGTCTGCCGTCACGCAACGAGCTACCCTTCTTTTTTCGTCCTTGCAGCCGATCTTGACTGTGTCCAGCCGATGGCTCCACCAGGTTGCTTCGGAGCTCCGAGAGTTGCGCCTGCAAGCCGTGCTCAAGGTTGGCGAACTTGGGGGCTGTCTTGAAGATGGAAAGAGGCACTACTGTAGCCACTAGCGGAGAAATGATCCCTTCGTTGGGTACAGTGCAAATTTGCATTTTTAATTATCGGGTGACACTTGGAGTGGAGTCCGGTTGGACAGGGTTTGGCAGGCCTGTATCTTCTGGGTTTCCGGACTGTCCAATTTCAAAATGTGGGGAGCACGGCATTGGCCGGATCTTCGGCGCAGCTGTTTTCCTCAATGCAGGCATCATGCAGGCAGATGGTCCCAGATAGTGGCACAGTGTAGTCTGCGAGTGATGATGGAGACGTTTAGCATGTAGCGCTGTACCGACGAAGGTCGTACTAGGTCTTCGTATCGAATAGGTCACCGATGGCACCGTGCTGTCGTTACAAGCTCATCTTTATGTTCGAATGATGATCTGACTCTCAGAGCTGCCGTCCAAGCTCATGTGTTCCACATGCCGTCGGGAATGCTCTCCCCACAGCGCTTCGAGGAGAGCACGCGATTGCTTCAGGCACGGCCAACAGCTACACGGTATGTGAAAGAAGCACTGGTCAGCACCTTGAGCAGCATCTCGAACCACATAGAACGCAGGGAGGCGAGGCATGGGCATGTGCGAATTGATTGAGTTGTCGTTATAGGTGCTGTCTGGCTCAACATGCGGCAAGTACGCACAACATGCCTTCGTCCCTGTTTCTGAGAAGTTGTGGCATCTTGACTGAAACAAATCCCTAGCTGTACCGTAGTGTCGGTTCCTAGAATCCTAGAAGCGTTTGGGACGCTGTGGTCGCCCTGGCAAGTCCGGAAGCGCCATGGGCCCTCCGCTGGAGAAGCAGCTTGAGACCACGGAGAAGGAGTCGCAAGACGAGCTTAGAGATCTTCTGTGGCACGAAGATTCGTACGACCCGCGGTGCTGGCATTTTTCAGCTGCCAGGAGTTCCGGGATCTCAGAGAGGCACGACTTCCTGTGCGTGTCTAAACCAAAGGCGACCTGGAAGTGCAGTGTGCTGATCCACGTCTTCAGATTGACAGTCCGAGGAAGTCGCAGTGAGATGTCCGTGCAAAGAGGTCCTGATGTCTGACCGGCCAGCGGCCAGCCGACCATACCTCCAACGTACAAGTAGCGCTGACTAAGCTTCTGCAGCAACCGAAATCTTCTTGGGACTGCCGACAGTTGCAGTACCCCGAAGCGTCGGAAGCCCACGAAGCCCCACCGAGTCTTACTGGACCATGAGCCAGTGGCAGCTGAGTCAGTGGGCAAGTATCGCAAGTGTCAGGAGCTGGAAAAAGAGCTGCAGAGTACTGCACTACCACTTTTCGAGAAGGCAGAAGTCGCTCTGGACGTGTTGGATGCACGGCTGATCTTGGAATCCCAGGTCAGTAAGTCGAGTTCGGGTTCGAAATTGCTGCTGATTCCCTTAGTAGGCGCATATGGCACATAATGATGGCATAACATGTTGTACACGAGTCACGGTGTGCACTAGTTGTGCCAATTTCGATGCCTTCGTCTACCGTAGCTTTCCACGCTCAGGAGATGAGGGACATCGCAGAGCTCAAAGCCATGAAAACGCCTCAGGATTGCGGGCTGACGCAGGGGATCAGGATGACTCGCCCGTCTTGTCGCGAATGACATTAATGCATCGCTTTGGGAATGGTACCAGTACGGGGCAGACCTAGGCCCTAGGCACGAAGCACAGTGATTGGCTCCAGTCTATAGGGCCGATCTTCGCCTGCGAACTGTGGCTACAAGTAGTCTAGTCTCGGTCTTTATCGGTGCAAGAGAAGGAGGTCATGGAACACACTGTGGATTCGAGCGGATGTTCGCCGGGCGGGGCGAAGTCGAGACGCTAAGGTTTGGTTTCGCTTATAGGCACCGGCATATCGGGAAGCTCGTGGAAGGCACCTCTCGATCTTGCTGGCAGACATGCCTTAGTAGGTTTGCTTACAAAACATTTCAGACCATTGCGCAGCCCCTTCAGGAGCAGCTGAAGAAGATAATGGCCACCATTGCTGCTGTCGTATACAACGTGGAGGTGATTCGAAGCATGTGCAGTGTCTGAAAGTTGTCCTAATAGACGTTTAGTCTAAAAGCCAGAACGACAGGGTGAGAAGTGCGCAGGTGAAGACGGAGGCTGATTGGAGAGGCAAAGCCGGTCACTCTCTAGCCACTGGGCAGCCATCGGTGTCGAAAATATTAAACTTGTTGGCTGCACCAGCTCCATGCTTCGTCTCCGGCATTGGCAGCATTCGCCATCTCTTGCAATGTCAAGAGCCACTGTATGCTGGCTATGCTGTAGCCCACATCTTGTAAACTGCTGCTGCTGCCAGTGCTACTGGTGTGCTGCGACTTGCGATGCGACTGCGATTAATTGCGACGACGAGGAACATGACGATAACAAGCTGGAGGACTTCTACGAGTACTGCTACTCTTAAAGCATGTAGATCTGCCGCTCCTGCTGCATCTCGCCACTACTGCTTCAGGTTTTAAGTTTCAGTTGCATCTCCCCAGTCTCGTGGTCTTCGAGCCCAGGTCCCAGACCTCAAGAACTTCGACCGTGATGCGATTCTTGTGGAGGAAAATGCGCAGGTGAAGCGACTTGAGGAGCATTGTGCTGACGAGGAGCTCAGCATCCAGGAAATGGAGAAGCCGCTTGGATCCGCATAACGGTCTGATTCAATTTCTGCTGGTGGTTGCCTGGGATTCTGCTTTGCAGATCAGCTGGAGAGCGGTGGACCAGACTTACGCAAAAGCCCGCAATATAGCAGAGAGATACAACAGAGATCAACAGAGCAGAAACTCAAGTTGCTGTTCAAAGTTGGAAGCTGGTGCGGGCACGTGAGAACGGAAGAGTGATGATTCGTTTCGCAAGTGAATGCCCCACAGCTCGACCAAAGCGCAGAACACTAAACTGGTTCCGTTCCTCAGGTTCAAAGGTCCGAGGATCGCGAAATTGTTGAATACCTGGATATGGGCGATGCGTGAGTATGCGGTGGTCCGCAAGAAGATCCAGCCAAGAATGGACAAGATGCGCAAGCTTGAAGCGGAGCTCGTAAAGCTTTATGAAGAGAAAAAGGAGCTTGAGAAAAGCAAGCCCACGGGTTGATAGTGTAACTGCCGCAAAGCTGACGCAGGAGTAGTCAGTTTTATGGCTCCTGCTCATGCTGCTGCAAGACGCAGTCGGTAAAGATGTTTCACTTGGGAATCTACCCTGCCACTGCTCTTTGGGGAGAAATGAGTGCAGTGGGTGTGGCCAGTGCCATCGCGCCAAGCATGATTTACTGGCGACAGCTGCAAAGCTTTTTTTCTTATGCACTCACATAACATGTGCGATTTTTCGTCGGGTTTTGTTTGTGTCGCTCTACCGGATTGAATGTCAGCTTGAAGACTGCTGCATAGTATTCTGAAACAGGATGGTGTGGAAGCAGTCAGCCAAGCTCCACAGCTTCTCCAGGACAACTGGTAACTAGTCTTTCTCAGCAGGATTTCAACTGATCCCTGAAGTAACAGACATCGCAAGCTCTGACAGGAGGGTGCCGAGGCTTTCGCGGAAACAGTTGCTTCGATTCCCGAAGCGGTCCAGGCCCGCGGCTTTTTGGAACTCTATGTCCGTTTTTCCTCACTGCTGTGGCTGTCTATCTGCAGGTCGGTGCTCGTCGTGTGCAGGAAGGTCTTGCGGCCGTTGCACGGAGCGTCTCGCGGTCTTTCTCTGCGGGACCGTCCTACGCACACCGACACCGAGACAAGGCTCCAGTCAACCCCAAATATGACTCTACGAACTGTACAGCGAACCATACAAGTATCAGAAGCCGCTGTGCGTTGCGACTATTTTTTTGCCGTGGCAGTGCCACCGGACAAGAAATTGCTGTTTTGCTCCCTGAGGAGGAGGCCCGGGCGCAGGCCAGGGCCGCTAAGGAGGCCGCCAAGCAGTATCAGAAGCTGCAGTGGACAGAGGCCATGGAAAGAAACCTTCAGATGCTCGGCTCCTGTATGAAAAGCTGGCCATGCTCAAGAATCAATGTTGGGGTAGTTGAGGCACTCTCTGCAGACAGACGTCGAAGGGTGGTTTGTTTCAGGTCTTGTCTGAACCCAAGGATGCTGAAGATCATCATCGAGCATCGGAGAAACGAAATCGTGCTTGCGGAAATGAATGGAGATTGGGAGAAGAAAGCCGCTCTCGAAACGGAGGTCAAGGATCTGAAGGTCCGTCAGGCCAGGTTGTCCTGCGCCCTTTGGGTTCAGCCAGAAGACCTTCCCAGCTCAATGCAGCTGCTGGAATCCGAAAATCCTCAGCAGCTTCAGCAGGAATTGGAGCTGCTGTTGGAGAAGCTCGGGCTGGTTCCGCCAAGACACGTCTTCGATGCACGCGAGTTGGTCGCACCGACCTTGGAACAGGCACAAGCCATCGCAGAGATCAAGCAGGAGTCAGAACCAGCACCCGAACCTGCGCCCGCGGTGGTGCCTGCTTTGGCATCAGTGGCACGAGATGCAGAAAGTTTGCAGCAGCAGACGCTGCCATTGACCGGGCTTCGGCTTCCGCTTAGACCTGCCCAATCGGGAGAGGCCGACTCACCATGTAGCATCCCACCACGCAGCCCGGTGCAGAAGGGCCCACGTCCTCACACACCTCGACGGACGAGCTCCAATCAGAAAGGAAAGGAGGGGAAAGGTGGAAGTGGAAAGGCTGGCGCAGACTTATTCGGGAAAGGGACTGCTGCAGTCGCCGGGCCCAGTGGGCCAAACAAAGATGCAAGCGCTGGACAGAGGTTCGTCGAAGTCCGTGAAGAGCCAGGAAGCCATGAAGGAGCTGGCAGCCCAGGGAAGGCTTCCGTCAAGGGGCCACCAGGCAAAGGCAAAGGCGGCAAGAAGGGCCCGCCGATGCCGAGCGAGGCAGTCGGCGCAGCTGACGGGAAGGGCAAAGGACAGAAAGGACCTGCACTCCCTGCCGGCAAGGGTGGCCGCATTCGGAAGGTGACTCCCTTGGGGCGGCGATTTCACTGGAAAGAACTGCCGGCTGACAAGCTGAAGGGCACCGTTTTTGACGACATCCACGCTTCCAACAGCCTGGAAGTGCAGTTTGATGGACTCAAAAACTACTTTGCAGACGATGACGAATTGGGAAAGGCTCCTGGTGCCTCGGCCTCGTCCACGAAGGACACATGGACATCGGGATTACTGTTATTACTATGACGACGACGACGACTACTACTACCACTACTACTACTACTACTACTACTACTACTACTACTACTACTATTACTGTTATTACTACTAGTACTAGTGCTACCATTACTACTATTACTACTTCTCTAATAAGTAATTTTACTATTATTGTTGTTGTTATTGTTACCATTACTACTATTACTATTATTACTCTTGCTACTGCTACTACTACTA